TCGTTAAACTTATTACAATTGTACAACAAGCCTAAGCCAGCAGTTGAGACCTAAGACTGGTACTGAGACCTAAGACTGGTACTGAGACCTAAGACTGGTACTGAGACCTAAGACTGGTACTGAGACCTAAGACTGGTACTGAGACCAAGAACAGGAAGGACAAAAGCAAAGGCTTTAGATCACCCTGAGACCACAGACCCCATCCGCACACGTTTTTTTCCACTCACACCTCATCATTGTCATACTGTTTTGATACTCAAATCTCTGCAGAAACCCAACAGGGCCAAACTTAACTGCGATTTATTTTTATGAATACCCCCCCACCCGTAATTTACGCCCATGGGCCCACCCCCAAAAGCAAGCGGTCATTCAAACAATCAGTCTATGTTAACATGCCAGCACGTACGATTCTGATAACTCCTTCCCATACTCGACCTGATAAAATAAGGGGTGATAATATGAATCAGATTAACTTAGAATATGTTAACTCTGGCCGACATTTAATTAAAAGCAGGCGTTTGTCTCACTTATTACAACACACGTACACGTCGAACTCAAACCTCCATCCAAAGAATCCAGACATGTCCGTATTTAAGATATAAAGTTTGATCAACTGCAGATGGAGCGCGGGCCGTTTAAATCAGTGTTTCATTAATGTGTGTTTGACGGCTTTGGGGGTTTAACGCTTACTTAGAATCAAGCAAATAAGTCCCACTTAAAATGCAAAGCCCAAAATATTCTGTGCAGAACAATTTTTTGGAAAAGTTCCAAAGTCACTATTACGACCTTACGATCACTATATACTCACAGGCATAAAGTCAAAGTGGCTTCAAAAAGCTCCTGATTGCGACACAAGTATAGAAAACAGCAGAACTACTTTCAATGCCTAAAGTTAATAGAGAAAAGTCGGCTTTGTTCTTGCAGTTCCCCGTAAGCCAGTGTAAGGGGTGACTTTAATAGATCCCACGTGCGCTCTGGAACAAGCACAGCCCAAGCGCGCACGGAGGAGGGGCGCGCCTCTGCGCGGCCACGTCGAGACCGAGGATCGGGCTTTGATTACAAAAGATGTGGCGGTAAACTTCGGGTTACAATGCACTGCAAACGATCAGTCAGTAACAAGCAGCCTGTTATGAGTGTATGGCTTCTGGACGTGTGAAACGCGGAGCGGGTAAACGTGAAATAAAACATCAGTGCCCGAGTTTGGTAACCCTGCCCAGTTTACCACAACTTCGAAAACTGGGTCAGAACATCATGAACTACAACTTAGTACCCTCATCAGAAGTTTGCATCCAAACGCGTGGTATTGAGTGGAAAATGCTGCATTGATAAAATCACCAATAACTAAACCAGCAATATAAATTATACTATTTTGAACACGTGGACATTATGGTACCATTCGCGGAGTCGAATGAATTGTATGCAAGCCTATATGGTTTAACTATGCAGTAAAAGAACCTTGTGTATGGAGATTAACAACGACCCTAACAGTGTTGTTCTCCGTAACACCGTCGGAAAAGCTGCAGATTCACTCACCTTTAAACTTAAGAATAATTAGGTTATTTTCGCTCCTTTTTCTGTCTCCTGCACATCCGTGACCGAACGCCAGCAGAGTCCAGCGGATGTGGAGCTCCGACCAGCAGCGGCGTCACCATAACTTCGGCGGAGCCGCTGCGCATGCGCAGAGCGGTTGCAGTGTTAAGTGAGTCTTCCCAGTCCCTGGACCCCCCAGGGGGTCGCGATTACAGCAAGCAACCCGTTTCGCAAGTCGTTGACGGAACAGACGGAAAATGGGAGAGCCACGTCATGGCGTGCGAAGCACATTCAGGATTCAAGAGGTTTATTCGTCAAGTACAGAGTTGTACACATACAGTTGTACTGAACATGTAGTGAAATGTAACCCTGGTCACCCGAGTAGCTGTGCATGATAAGAGAATAATAAAATATATAAAATAACAATATAAAATAAAAATATGAGATATGTTAAGCTGTACATACAGTCTATACATAAGTGATAAGGTAAAAGTGACGTGCAATATAAGCGCAACCTAGGGGCACTGAGACTTGTCCTGGTTTAGGAGCCTTATGACCTGGGGGGAAAAGCTCCTCTTCATTATGATAATGCAACGTCATACAGCATGCTGTATTAAGATGTCTTTTCTGCTAAATAGTTTGAATTATATAATGAGTGCCTACAATCTATGTTTCAAGGAGGGAAATATGTGTTCCATCCTTGTATTTATCCTTGGAGCGCCCGTTTGCAAAAGTGTAGTATTTCTCCAGCAGACAGGTAATAGTTCTACCCCCCCCCCCTCCCTTTCACGAGATATCGGTGTGATCTCCCGTCTCCTGCGCCATAGAACGGGATCCTTGGATATGAGCAGTGCGGCGGCATCCACCCTTCGCACCCTGATCTGCCCTAACCCCATGCTTTCTATGTGCAACTGATATTCCTTTATTTATTTCTTTTCCTGAAATCTCCTGATAATAAGATAAGATTCCAAGAAAAAAGAATAAGAATACAGTTGGTTCAAATGATACAGAACAATTCAGACCCGCCCGGCAACTTGATGAAACGTTTTTGCGAGTACAGCGCGTGCTGACATAGCAGTTCAACGTTGCCTTTGAACGTATAGGAATGACAGGAATAATTTAACTGTTGGAAGGAAGCTGACGAAATTCTTTCTCCCCGGATTTGAAGGACTTTGGTTTATGGGATTTCTGGCTGATTTTTAGTTTCACCTAAACTTATTTTTTCATACTTGCAGTGGGCGTCAAAAATCTGGGACCGCTAGTAAAAATGTTTCTATTTTGTATTGATGTATAATTAATTTAATACGAAAATGTTATTTCCAAATTATATCTGAGTGAAAAGTTGAATCTTGGAAAAAGTAGAAAACAAAAATGAATTGCAGAATTTCCTAGCCTTTGGTGTGTTTCCCCAACTCCCTTTTATTTTCGTCACAGTGCACCTCCTCTGTACCACAGGTTTGTGGAAAACCTGATGAGCCGTTCTGCCCCAGTGTGACTTGAGAATGTTCCAGAGATCATCCTGTGACATTACAGTACTTCTCGCTTGGCTTTCTCTGCCTCCATAAATGTTCGATGGGGTTGAGGTCAGGTGCCTGTGGAATCAGCACTACGCACGCTCCTCTTTGTTCCTGCAAAGCTTCGGGGAATGTTTGCGGTCATTATCCTGGTGCAGCATCAATTCTTCTGCAATAGAACCAAACCAGAGGGTGTAGCGTGTCTTCGAAGAACAGACTAGTACTTCATCTGAAACAATATAATATATCTAGGGGCAGGGTGGTTCTTTCTGGGGTCCCATTAAAAAAAATCACTTCCTGGGGCCTCACCCTGTCAAGTGTAATGACTATTTGTGGCCAACTGAGGCCCTCAATCCTCTGTGGCCACATGCCAATGCATGGTTTAAATGGTGCTAAACACCACTCCTGCATATAACTCTATATTAACTATTAACTATATATGCTATTTTCTATTTATTTTCTGTTTAGACTTTATATTTTTAAGTTTTTTTCTAGTATTAATACACTATGCTAGGCCAATGCCAAATCAATGCAACGTAATTTCGTTCTGATGTGCACTGATGTGCATGTATGTTCTGAATGACAATAAAGTGCCTATTCTATTCTATTCTATTCTATTCTATTCTATATCTCTGATCCAATGTCTTCTGTTGAGAATATTTCACAGACATTACTGGGTACAACTTTTACTACACAGAAGTAAACTATAGAGTTCGTGTTTTGTTAACGGACCCGCTGATGTGTTTTCAGTAAATACCTCCAACGTGAGCAGAGGAGGACTAAGTACTGGAAAAGTTATAATTTTTAAGTTTCACCCACGCTCTGGTGTTTTTATTAAGGTTTCTTTTAATTGTGTTATTTAGGTTAGGTAGCCATTTTATCTGGAATGGGAACAATTACTGGAAATATATAATCTGCATATCACAGTTGTTGGTACTTTATGTCATGTTCCTCATGAAAATATTAATATTTTCATTTATTCTTTTTGGAATGGGAAAAGTGATTTAGATTTTGTTGAAAATGCAAAATGCAGACAACCGGCCATTTTAAAATCTGAGATCAGCAAAACATTTTAAAATCTGCCGTTTACTTTTTTGCATTAAAACTTTCTCTTCTCGTCATGGGACATTGAAGTATCCTGAGCAGCCAGCCTCTCCACATGACGTCGGCGCCTCTTACATCACACTTGGATACTCGGTGGGTATCATGGTTACCTCACAGCCCCATGGTTCTGTGGCCCTGTCCCCCTCCAGCTCTGTGCTGCGGAGATCACATGACATCTCCCCAAAATATCAGTACCTTTTTTTCCACTTCCAGCCTACTAGCTCTGAATCCCTCCCACAGTCCTTGCAGATGAATCACTAGATCTGGAATACCAGGTTAATGCACCCCCCCCATTAAGATATGCTCGGCATACTTCCAGTTAGGTTGGGGGCAGGGAGGCAATACCTTAGGCATGAAGGGTGGGTGGATGCATTTACCAGGCAAAGCTTGTTAGTCGTCTGGTTTTTCATCAAAAATAATGCAGGGATTAGTCATGATACACATCTCACTAACTTTTGGCATCTTATAGGAAACCTGGGTGGATTTGAAAAGTCCACAATGCTTGGAAAATATCTACTTAGCAGAAGCTTTTATCTAAAGTGTTGTGCAGATGAGAAAGCAGGGTCATCCAATCTCTGGGGGTTAAGGTCCTTGTTCAAGGGCCCAACAATAAAATCTCTCTGCCGACTCTGGGATGAGAACTCGCGACCTCATGGTCACGAACACAGTCTAATCCACTGAGTCACACGCCACCTCCAAGGCATCGAAGGCAGAAGATGAAGGGGACAACAAGCAACAAGATTAGAATCAAACTCAAAGTACTTTTATTATCCTAGAGGAAATTGTTTGTAGTTACAGATGGCACAGTGCACAGATACATGAAAGAGAAAAACAGAAATACACGATGTCACACGCAACAATTGCTATATAAAAATAAATTAATTAATGTATAAAGATGGTAATAGATTAAGTAGGTGATATGGAAACTAGGTTCTGTACTGTGGTAACAAAACATGTTTTCTGGTCAATATTGCACAAAGATAAATAGGTATTAACAGAAATATTGCACTTGTGACAGGAGTGATTCACTGGTTGTATGATCAGATGGTCGTTAGAAGGAATGATTTCCTGAGGTGCCCAGTGGAGCATTTTATGTTGAGGACTCTAGGAATAAATGTGCTTTTCTGTCCAGCCACAGCAATGTCAAGGGGGTGAGCAGCATCGTCCAAGATGGACCGAAGTCTGGACAGCATCCTAATCTCCACCACAGTCTTGGTAATGTCCAGCTCCTCCCCTAGAACCAAACAAGCCTTCCTGATCAGTTTGTAGCATCTTTTGGCATCCACCACCCCCACGTTGCTGCTCACAGATCACATCTGTAACACGGTGTTGCAGACTCTGAATGACCTGGGCCTTCTCAGGATTGACAGATGGACTAAATCATTATAGCATTTAGTGTGCTATTGCAGAGCGTGATGAGCAGAGTGAAAAGCAGGATGATCTGATAGGAGGCCATCTTTATGGTAGCTGGGAGCTGAGATGACCACGATTTGATGGAACCTAAGAAGATTAATAATAATAATTTGTGGTGAACTTGTAGTGAAGTGAAGACACCGGAAAGCACAAGGAATATCTTTATCATAGAGGGTCTGGTGAGCTGTCCAGGCAAATATATCAAGATGTGTTGAGATACTAGAGGGATATTTAGTGCCAGGAGGAAAAAGGAGACATAAATCTGTTTGCATCAGCATTGCGATGATATGAGGACATGAGAGGGTCCTGGGGTGTCGGGCCGCAGATTATGAAACAGGGGGCCCAAAATAGCCCTAGTAAACCGGTGACTAAATCCGATCTACTGGTCTGATGACCTGCCCAGTAAAATGTGTTTAGGGTGAGCGGTTCAGTAGTTCAGAAAGCAAATGTAGTTTAAATGGAGTGATGTCCGAAATCCTTTCTGTAGAATGAGAGGGAAACTGCAGACTTGGGAACCAGGAGAATCTACATCTCAGAGAGTAACCCAGGAAAGAGGCAGAATATTGTGTGTTCTGGACCCATGGGGGCCGCTGCCATTAAATCTGCGGGGGACGTGTCCCCCTCACGTTTCATAATTATTCATTTGGACCCCCCCCCACATTTAACATAAAATATTAGTTTTATGCCAGTGTGTCCCCCCACATTCAAAATGCTTCTGACACCCCCGTGGCCTTCTAAAGCTTTGATAATACATTCTCAAGATTTTGGGGTTGCCGAAGGAGTTGCAGAAGTCTGATGGACATCTGGCCAGGAGATGCAGTAGCCAAAGTGAGATATGATATCTTTTAAGTGTGGATGGACCTCTTCACCTGGTTAGAGGTTGTTATGTGTTATTCATAAACAGCAATGCTAAGACATCAGCTAATTAAGCATGATGCTACGTTTAATTTGTGATGTGAACTTGTAGTAGGGTTAGGTATCTCCATCTTTGAAACGTTGAGTTGGGGGTGATGGTCAGTCATCCAGACTAGGATACACTGAGAAGGAGCAGGAGGAGAAGAGAGAGATATCATGTCAGCCATGTCAGCTGTCAGTGGGTGACAGAGACTGCACAGAGACTGTCTGGCAGCAGACTAAAAAGGAGGTCCAAAACAGTCCTAGTAAACCGGTGACTAAACTTCATCTACTGGTCAGATGATCTGCAGAATAAATTATTATTGTCCCATACATACTGCATTTATTCCAACATTCCTTGCACTGACATGCACTCTTGCGCACTTTCTACATTTAACAAACCACACACGCATGCTGCATGTCAGGGTTTTTCAACCAGTGTTGCGCTGTAGATGTATGTTATGGAAATGCGGTTTGCGGCCATCGCAGGGATCCGATTGCTGGCCACTTGCCGAAAATTACCGATAGATAGTTATGGAAGACGGATGGGTAGGATACAGAACCCGAGCAGGAGTAGAGAGGCAGGTTAGCAGAAAGACCAGAAACACGGGGGGGCGGATCTAGAAATTATGGCCTCCGTTATAATTTTATGATTCAAAGGCCCTTATCAAGTGTGTGGCCCCCTGAATCTGGCAGGGTATCTATGCCCCCCGACAGCCTTAGGTCAACAGTATAAGTGTTATTTGATTACCTCAAGCCAAATGCAAACATACTAAACAAACTCTCAAAGCAGAGTCCTTGGGACTCCAGCACTGTCAGGAAACTCGTGTTTAGTGAGATATGTTTTTTGTGGTTCATAAGTCATTTTGGTTGATTTTGACAGGCTGCACTTCATTCATTCATAAAGCAGTTTCCATTTGGTCATTGGTTCAAGTGCAAAAACACCTGAATATCTACCGGCCCGGAAACGAAGCTGATATGAATCTGAACACATTGTTATCCAGGCCAACGTGGCTCAGCCATTACAGAAGTACATTAGAAATTGTGGAGAAACTGGAAAGATTGACGGCAACGGCGCTGTTTTAGTCGATCAGTCAGTTATCGAGAACTCATAAAGCCTGGGGTTTTCATCAGAGGGATTTGACCTCACCTTACCTGGGGGAACAGGGCCAACAAACAAGGTTTATGAGTCTTTCCAACTGACAGCGAGCCTCAAGAACTCTGACAAATGGTCCTGTGACCTGAAGGTTACTGGTTTATGTCCCATGAGAAGCCTCCCCTCTGTATCCTTGTGAGACGTACTTAACTGGAATTGCTCCACTGAAATAACCAGCTATATATGCAGGTAACAGGCTGTCTTGAGTAAAACACCAGGTAAGCGATGAAATATTAAATAGTAATCAGTAATAAGGCTCCGGCTCTCCTTCTGACGCTGAAGCTCACAGAGCTCCAGAGGATCAAATGGCAGATGAAATGGCTCAGGAATTTCTGCTTCGGCTCTCTGGGGAAAATTCATCCCCCCCAGTATCAGCAATATTACTGGTGGTGTGGTGGGGGGGGGGCAGTTAAGTGTACAGTGTGGGAGCTGAATTGCAAGGAGCTTAACAGTCTCTATGGGACAGGAACAGGAAGCCTCCCGTGGTGGTTTGGGGGTTGGGGGGTTGGTGGGGGGGGGCGGAGGCGGTGGCATGTTACATGCAGCTAATAGCAACCGAACAGAAACACTGGGAAGAAGACCTTTCCTGAAGGACAAAACCAGTCCTTCCAGCTTTGTCCCTCACATGGCCAAGCAGCTCTCTGGGGACGCGATCATGCTATAGTACAACATCAGTATAATATACTTCCGGACAAAAAGCATGTAGGACTCCTTTATCAACAGAGCAGACACGTCTTACTTAAGCAGACTGATGTCAGTGTCAGGCCCCTGAGCGAGGCCCCTAACCCCCAATTGCTCCAGGCCCCTAACCCTGCTTTCTCACCTGTACGTCGCTTTGGATAAAAGCGTCTGCTATATAAATAAGATGTTAAATACTATATATCTACTAACATCACCCAGCCCATTGTCACAGAGTAATCCGTGCAACAGGTCGTCTTCTTTAAATTCCATTTTCAACTTTCGTTACTAAATGTAAACATTTTCTTACATGTTTATATGCTATTTATTACTTTTCATTTTGCATTATGACCAATATCGATGTCCCCCCCTCTGTGTCTGACCCAAGGCTGCAGATAACAATGCAGACATTCTGACTTTTGCGACTGACAGGCTCTCATGATCGGCCGCCTGATATCCAAGGGGGGGGGTGAATGGGCAGTCTGACCACATGGTGCTTATTTAAAACACGGGTACCAAGCCCAATCCACCTGGAAGACCTGTTCCTGGGTTACTCTGCCCACAGGAGATTATGTGAACATATCCCTGGCATTTAAACTCACTGACCCCCCCTCACACACGCACACACACTGTCCCGTCGCCCCTCTTTCCACCACAGGCTTTACTCTGGGATCCCTTTGAAGGTGCTATTTAAATGTGTGCGTGACACTCAGTCTCCCCCCGGGATGCTTGGGCCCACACATGACACACGTTTCACAGAGCTATCTGAGGACAGAGAACAGTTTCCCCACCACCCAAGCCCATATTTATAAACCCTATATCTATTACACGGAAAAGCCGTGTCATCCCACCATATTCCCCGCCCACCTCTACCCTCTTCAGGGGGGTGGGGCTCCCAATCACGAGATTCCCTGGCTGTGATTGGCCGGCGAGTGGTGGGCGTCGGCCACACGTCTGACTTTCATTGTTGGGCTGCCGGTGGCTGACAGAGGAATGCGACGGCCCCATTTGTCTCGCGCTCGGAGGCAGCTGACCTTGATGTGCGCAGCGAGAGTCTACAAAACCGAGTGCAGCAATAACGGTACCTACCATTAATCAGAGAGGATTCTGGGAGTCCTCTAAAGTCCTGGACCGAAGCCAGACCCCCATAAAGAGAGATATCTACTATAGTAGATAAGTTCTTAATCTTTATCAGCTGAGCACTTTCACTGGTGTCCAAAGCTAATGGAAAACAGAACATAAGCAATAAATGTCTGGCACAGGGGTAAAACGACAAGAGGAGCACTTATTGTCCTATTTGCGTAGGTTACGTAAAGCTTCACAACTTCTCAAAGCTAAATGCTACAACTAGATTCTAAAATGTCGAATGAATTTTATCCCAGTGTCCTAATGCAAGTATGTGTGTTACTTACATCTATGTGGATCTAATTGGCCAAAATGGTGACTGCTTGAATTTTCATTCACACGCTTTTTTATTATAATAATAATTGTAGCCTACTTGTTGTAATTCTCACTGGCCTTTCTTTTTTTTGTACAGAAAGGTCTTTATGAGGACAATCGAGAGCAGAGCATGCTAATACTTAGGGGACATAAATGACAGACAGAAAACCTAAGCAGCCACAGAGCCTGGTTTGTTAGGGACATTTTGCCACGTCCAGCCAGGCTATCCAATGACCTACTCCGTCATTGCCACCTTGTTTCGGATCGCGCCTTCAGGACAGGAACATAGCGGTTAGGGCGTGACACTTCGCGGAGACGTGCCCGCACGGCCGCTAGGGGACGCTCTTGGCAAAGTCCGAGGCGAGCCGCGTCTTTTGGCATTCGAATTCCTGTCCACTCCTGTTTACATGTTATGTAATGTGACAAGTTAATTTTGACTCATGTCTAGCGAGCTAATTAATCACTTTCATTAAAACAAAACCCATTCTGAATGTTTAACTAAATAGTTTATAAGCGGTAACAAGTGCAGTAAGTGACAGCGATATATTTATAATCCTTTCGTTTGAAAAAGTCACACTTTTATCTCTTAAAACGTCGAGTTTGTTTCAAATACTAATAGATAACTCCAGGTTTTACGACTTTTTAAATATGTTTATATATTATTTTATGTAATTTATTGTTTGATGGCGCCACCAAGTGGACATATTAGGAATCGCAAAACGCAGCTTCCCCGCGAGCCCGGAGACTCCGTCCTGCTGGGCATGAGGTGCTGGGGGGTAAATCTACGTTTGATTAATTTGGCCGGAGCGCTCCGCTAAGATTTGACCATATTTTGCCATGACTACATACAAACAAATCTTTAAAAGGCAAATATAAATAGCACAGTGCTGTCATGAATGCAAACAAAAACCGGCCGCACAGCCGTATTTACCATATTAAGTCAAGGCGCAGGATCCCGGGTGGGTGACGCAAAGAGGCTCTATTCTCTGCCGCATAACAGTGACTCTCTGTATTCATCTGCTGGAAAAGGGGAGGAAAAGGGAGAGGGACAGTAATCAAACAAGGCGCCCTTTTACCTCAGTTTGTTAAATGAGGACCCTGGTAACGTTATCTTCAAATGGCATATTAGGTTAATCTGATCTCCTATTTCAGTACCTTTTTAGGGTGAATGTCAAGTTGGTCTTTTTTTTATTAGAAGAAATCGCTATACATTCTATTTTGGAAGAGTAAATGATTTCAAGTATTTGTGTATAGAAGTGCTAGACAACTATTGAAAAGCTAGTAATTTTAAATTTGTCAAATTCAGTGATTTTAACTAACTTTTTAAAGTGTTTTGCATGAACCTATCCCCAAACGAGACACGCCTTTAAACACGACTTGCCCAGTGTTATAAATGCCCTTCCTGTTACTCGACATTAAATTGGCTCATTAGACTTTGAACCGGACTACAAACTTCACAGTCTTTACATTGTGACAACACGCATTGTGTATTATGTCGACGTTTTGTTTAAAGAACATTATACGCGGAATCACGCTTGTATGGTTTATTGGTTGAGTGCGCTTGTTGGGATGTGAGGTATTTACACCCATCGTAAGAGTCAATGAAAGGTGCTGTAGTACACAACAATAAAGGTACACAGAAACCTCATTAACTTACAGGCTCGCTTCTGCATCTTTAAATATGGGGACAGTGAGGCACCCCCCCCACCCCATCCCCGCACCCTGGCCTGTGCAGGTGGGTCGGCTAATTAATTTATTCATGTATTCTAATACACCCGGGCCATACACAGGCAATTACTAGCCTGGCCCTCTCCGTCTTCTGGAGCACGTGTCACTTGGCAGCAAGCCAGGCTTAAGCTGATGCATATTCATGTCTAGCTGGGCTAGTGGGCGCTTTGTTAAAAGCTGGATTTTCCCTGGTAGCCTGATTTACCGCGAGCGCCAGTGTCGCAGTGTTTCTGGCTCAGAGTAAGGAATACTTTTCCATAAGTGCTGGATGGTGTTACTGATTGACGTGTGCGACATTTGCATGGCTGATGAATTACTGTAACAATGCCACAGTGGCGTAACAAGTTGTAAGTTGTCTGAAAAATAGCAATTAAATAAATCGCAAATGATAGTACTAAATAAAAGTAGTAAATAAATGAACGAGACAGACAGTGGCATTTGCACGGCTGATAATTTTCCGTAACAATGCCACAGCGGCATAACACAAGTATCAGCTGTCTGCAAATATAGTGGCTAAATAAATCATGAATTATAGTAAAAAAATAGTAGTAGTAAACAGATGAGGGAGACAGACAGAGTGCTGGTGTATTGGCACCTTGTCAACTAACCAGTGATGATGTCATACGGCAGCTGTGTCACCTAATGATGATGATGTCATACGGCACCTGTGTCACCTAATGATGATGATGTCATACGACACCTGTGTCACCTAATGATGATGATGTCATATGGCACCTGTGTCAGCTAACCGGTGATGATGTCATACTCTTGTTTTGGGCAGTTGGGTCCGTAATTCATCAACAGGTTGTGTCAGTGTGGTGTGGCTCAGCGGGTTTGGCCTGCGATCGCAAGGTCACTGGTTCACATCCCATGCTTGGCAGAGTGGCTACATCTCTGTTGGGCCCTTCAGCAAAATCCTTAACTCCCCAAAAAATGCCCCAGGGGTGCTGGATGGATGGCTGATCCTATGCTAAGGCCCCAAGCTTCAGTCTCACCTCTATGTGTGTATAACTTTAAAAAGCAGAGCATGATGGGATATGTGAAAACTAACCCATTCCAGTGTACTTGTACAAATGGCCAAAAAGGGAATCATTTCATGTCAGTTTGTTCTTTAGCCGATTCCATTATTTGGTTCTGATACCTGTCAATTTGCCATGGGGGTGAAGTGCCTGACATACCTCAGTCCAGGAAGAGGTTAGGTGATGGCCTCTCTGTTCAGGGTACCAATCTCAGGGAAGTTTAGCTCTTCACACTGGTTGAGGATACTCGGGTTTGACCTCCAGGTGTTATGCACCGGAGACAGGGGTAGCTGTATACTGAAAACGGTTACTGTGAGGTTACACAGATTTGCTCATATTTTTTTTATCTTCCTCTGGGTGATTCAGAGAAAGCTGACTTCAAGCTATGTGCTGTAGAATAGTTTTAAATGAACAGGTTATGGGATGGGGCACAGGCTGCTGAAACTACGTCATGGTGGATTTTCAGCAGTAAATGTTATTTTCCCAGAATCCTGTGTCATTCCAAAATGGTGGTGACCTGGTGAACACATTCTTGGTGAATTCAAATGATAAATATTGCCACCTGTTAAGGGGAAGATGTCAAGGGATCTGGGTTTAAATTTACAAAAAGGATTCTGTTACATAACAAAACAACATAAAATGAGGACATAGCCCCTTTAAAGAAAGGAAACTGAAAAATTAAGAGCCAAAATAAGAAACCCTCAAACACAGGCAAAGCCAAACCAACCCCCTACCCCAAATCCTAACCTCATAATAACCCAGCAAAAAGTTAACAGGCACCAGCTGTGATTTACTGACGATCTGTAGGGGCAGGACAGGTCTCGATTACCAGGCAGACCGCCAAAGCCCACAGCCAGCTGTCACTTTGTCTCCCACTGCTGGCTCACTTGTCCAAACCATCAACAGGAAATTACATCAACAGGAAATTACATCAACAGGAAATGACATCAACAGGAAGTGCCTGATTTTGCATGCTAGAAGTACCTGTGTGTGAAGGCATTTGCTACCATAAGTGTCTACATTACCTCTGCAGCTCCTCGTTGTCTGTCTTTACGGATATTTTTTACGTGAGATAACGTAAGGATTTATTAAGATTTTGCTATCAGTCCTTGCGCCGCATATTTAATTTCGCTGCTTGATGGCACGTATGCAAGAAATGCTGTACAAAGGCAATAACCGTCTCTAAGCAATCCCCTTTCTGCATGATAGTTAAGAAAATACATCTGTAGCCCTTTACGTAATTGCTGGAGTTTTCGTAAAATACCTGAGTCATCCACAGGTGCAGCATGAGGGTCGTATTGATTCATGCGCCTCCTTTCTGCAACGAGGAAATGGACCATTATTCCATAGTAATAATCCAGCTACCTTTTAAAACCTCCTTACATAGCAAGTCAAAAAAGCCCCTTTGAGGTTGCCAGGTTACGAGTACAAGAACTTTAGAAAGAACATTTTATTTCCATGTTACTTTTTCAATGCAGCAAAATGAGTGAGCAGGCAAGTTATTCATAGACTTGAACAGACGTTCAATGACTGGAAGAGGAAAAACTATTATTTTAGCCAGTGATGTTTTCTTTAAAATATAACCTTTCATCACCCATTTTCCATTGTATTATATTGCATGTGTACCTTGCATATAGCTTAATCTTTCACTGTAATTGTTCAGAGTTTTTTCAAATTGGATGTTAGAGGAGAAGAATGAACAGGACTTTAACTATGAATTCATTTTCAGGCATTTTATTATATATATATATATATATATATATATATATATGTATATATAACTTGCAAATTGATACATATGGTTATTTTTGGCTTTAATTTAATGAAAATCCCTGGGATGATTTTTATGTATTAGATACAACAAAACAATTTTTTGAGAGGGTTTTTTTCATCAGATTTGTAGCAAACACCAGGAACTCAAACAGTTAAATTTTAATATAAGGATAAAACTACCCATCCTTCAACTAACCGCTTATCCTGGTCAGGGTTGCCGTGAGAATAGGACAGATTTATTGAATGTATGTCCAGTTTTACTTTTATATTCATATTTTGGTGCATTCAGTGTTACCATAAAAAAGTTAGCACAGCAGTGCATGTAGAAAAGCTTTGTAAAATCCAGTCAAACGACATCGAATTAAAATATGAAATATCTGAATGCTCTTTTGTCGCGTCCCTCTCATGGACTGGCATATATCAGGTTTTACCAGTCCGCTACACTGACACAAATGAGAACAAAACGCAGACGCTCAGGTCAGCGCTTTTCGTACATTTAGTAGTAAGGGGGAAAAAAAGAACATTGACAGAGAATGTAGACACACTGGCATCTGGCTGGATGGTGGCTGGATGATGCCAGGTAGCCTCGCAGCGACATTACAAAAGGCGCCGCTTGACCCAAAAAGTCGCCCCCTTTAGTACCCCGAGCTTTTAAATGAGGGCGCGAAGGAGAAGGGCGACCGGAATGACAAGTGGGGCTAACAATCCTCCAATCTGGTCGCGAGGCGTCTGCCTGCAAAAAAGAAACACACACAAACACAAAAGGGGAAAAAGAAAAGACAAACACAGGTCACCTGATATTACTCTGCACGGGACGTAACGTCTTATGTGTTTAATGTTTTCTCTGCTGCTTCAATTTCGGTCTCTGTACCTGTTCAGCTAACATCAGGGACTAATTGCCTGCACCTTGGCAGAGGGAGGAAACAGGTGCGCAGTCAGGTGTGACGCGATGAATTCGGTGTGCCGGTTTCCATGGGAACACCCGTGATGTAATGCTGCTGAGGTCGATGCGGTCTGTCACGTCACCTAACCCCTGGAGAAAGGTGTTTCAGCTCAGAAGACCTTTACTTGAAGCACTTGTCTTCTGTGGTTCTTCTGCTCACTTAACAAACAGCTGGCAAGCAGTGCACATCATCGCGTGAAACCTGAGAAGGACTTAATCCGCTACCTTTCAGTTTTCGATAAAAACATGGTACAGTTTTACGTCGAGTTATGCTTGATCAAGTTACGTACGATTGCATGGAGATGCGGACGTAGGTCGGTAGTCAGTGTATCCCTTTGTGTAACAGGTGTAGAGACTGGGCAGCACTGCCAGCTGTATCCATATCTAACTTGTAATACAGTATGGATACAGTAATGTATACTGTATGTGATGGACAGCTACTACATCGAGATACGCCCAGACTGACTTGCGCCCGGTGGTCCTGGCCACAAATGCAGACGCCAGTTGACGCAAGGCTGTATTTGTAAGATGGGAGGTGGACGGGTGAAATCAGGAGATGAGCCTATCGGTTCACCTGTACATATCTACTGGTCATTTAAATTGACTTCTTCGTGTGAAAGACATCTGCTATCCACCTGCCTCCACTCTCCTGAAGTCCTGTTCTCCTCTCCTCTCCACTCCGTCGTGTCCCTGGAGCAGGGGAGGTTAGAGGCCAGTCTCAGGGGTCCAATTGTGATATGGTGACTTTTCCAGCTATGGGAATAGAACCCACACAGACACAGTTCCTTAACTCACTGAGACACACGTCTGCTTTTTTTCTGACCACAGCAAGTGACGTAGCATTGAATTGCTATCAAAATGCTTTTGTTTTAATAGTATTTACTAGTGGATTTTATTTCCAAGTTACAGCCTTGGAATTAACTTAATAAGGCTACTGCTATGGGCAAACATTTGCCATCTGATTGAACTGGGTTGTGTGCTGTTCACCTGAAACACAGACCTTTTTGTCCAGTGGGGACCCACTTAGTCAACCAGCCCCCCCCCCACATGTATTAAAGGAGTGACAGGATGAGCAGGAAACCTGCACCAGCAGGGGGTTGAGTTCCAAACTGCCATGCAGGCTGGCTCTCTCTAATAAAATAGTGACACCTTATTCATTCTTATGAGGAAACTGTCTTTTCAGCGACACCATATTGCTCTCTAGGAGACGCAGGTGAGAGGAGGGCTGGGGGGGGGGTCA